GCCCCCGGGGCCAGAGGCGACAAACTCATGGGCCCCACTAGCACCCGCCATACCAAAGCAGATCCAGGAAAGGGAACAGAGGTTCGGGCCCCCAGGGCGCACCCCCTCCAGGCCAAAGCCCGACAGGCCCAGAGGCCCCGAACCCCAACAGGCAGTCACCAGGCCAGGCTGGCACACACCCCAGCGCCCAGCCCCAGACCCCGGGAACCCCCAGCGCGCCGGCGGCCAACCGCACACCCCACTGGGGGGCCGAGTAGCAGCAGGCATCTGCTGTTCTGTCAGGAACAAACTTCTCAGGAACGAATCCTTTTAAATTACTTGGCGTGAGGACCCTATGTTCCCTCGTAGGCTCAAATATTCCACTCACTTTCTATGTTGATGTGATAATTAGTTTTTTTTGTTGTCTAACCTTATGTGTGTCCGATCAGACAACTCCATAAAATCTCCAGCTACTGATCATTGGTGTCACAGAGTTGCTCATAAAAAAGTCATCTTAAAGGGGACATATGCAAAATCCACTTCTTTAGATTGATTTCTGGTATTTGAGAAAGGAGGATATTCCGTGTTTCTGTAGTCACCTTGTGGTAATTTAGTGTCCACTTTGTAACGTTTTGATTAGACACTTGGCCTTCAAAATACTTGGTTTTCCTGATTTTATTCAGTAAGAAAGATGAAACGTACCCTGACCTGTTCTGCACTCAGTTTCTAACGTGTTCTTGCAGGCAGAGGACATGCAGCAGCAGATAATTCGCGAGACTTTCCATCTGGTGTCRAAGAGAGACGACAATGTTTGTAACTTCTTGGAGGGTGGAAGGCAAGTCGTGTTTTATTTAATTCCATGTATTTTTAATTAATTAATTTATTTTTTTTATCAACATCTGGTTTGTGTTTTAATATCATAAAAACATCAAAGATGATCTTGCATTAACTTCAGGTATTTTGTAATTTTTTGGTGGCTTCGATGAACCAGCAGCTCTCTGCTTCTGCAGGCTCCAAACATTAGATGGCAGCAAAAGCACAAAAGTCTGATCTATTTCTGAACTTTACACCTAAATAAGTTTTATTTGAACAAACCCCGACTGTATTGTTTATTTTTGCCTACCCAGAGCACTCAGCAAAAAGTGATTCCTGCATTTTTTTATTATTTTGATTTGAATCTGTTTCAGTCTCATTGGTGGCTCAGACTACAAGTTGATTTACCGACACTATGCCACCCTCTACTTCGTCTTCTGTGTGGACTCGTCTGAGAGTGAGCTCGGCATTTTGGACCTGATTCAGGTCAGTTGCTGCATCTTTGAATTTCTGTGTGATAGTGATGGACCGTGTAAAGCTGACACTCTGATGCATGTATAAAAAAACCTGATTAGTGATGTCTGAAGTTCTGAAAGTACTGAAACTACTTCAACTCTTTACTACCTTATTCAGAGATTTATAAGGAAGTGAATCATTGGCACAATTTGTTGGCGAATTTAGGCAAAATATAATGAGGCAACAAGCGACATGGAGCAAGCTAGCCATACAGGTGCTGGTCATAAAATTAGAATATCATGAAAAAGTAGATTTATTTCAGTAATTCCATTTAAAAAGTGAAACTTGTATATTATATTCATAC